GTCGCAACTATCTGCAGCTTTATGTTTAAGAGACAGTCAAGCTGCTATAGTATAAGTTAGCAGCGGGTCTTAACACGACGCCCAGGGGCCAGTTAAACCACATGCTTGCGTGTGTGAACCCACTTAGATCTTAAAAACTAGTACGAGATACAAAATTCACCAAGCAACTGAATACCAACCAATCCAGCCGACTATTAACCATACAAAGCCAAAGCTACCAACCAAGTTCACAGGGAAGGTAGGCCCAAATGCTAACTCACTTATGCAAAAGTCTGAGGCCCCTATATCATGATGCTCAGGTCAGCTGAGGTCAAACAGGGTCAAACTCCAGATCAATGTCCGGGGAGCCCCAGGCCTCCCCATGCAACCACCTCTAACCTAGATACCTGTTCTCTGAAAAGGTCATTGATGTTCATTATAGGTCAGTGGCTCTCTTTGCCTTCAAAAGGTCATGGTGACCAAAACCCAACGAGAGTTCGATTTTTTAATTTGGATAAGTGTCGAAGATAAAGTATGCTAGGCGGTATGGTGCCAACAGCAATAGGCTGGTTGGGACACTTTACGTCAGTGACCTCATCTGACCTTCACTAAGTATAAATGCGATGCCTATTAACTTCTCTGTGATCGGAAAATTCGAAATGAACGTCCGAAACCACCGCACAGCAAGTTTTTTCTAAAAGAAAACAGTTTGGTCTTCACATTGGTCTGACCTTCATACCTGTCTCCAAGTCAATAAAATTCAATTTAATCATTAATTCAAGCATCCAGTTGTCTAAGAAACTGTCTCAGAGATGGACGTCTTCGTCTCACACTCCGTTGTCACATCAGGTTCACCGGTTCCACACGAATTTTCATCACAGACAGCCATGAACTAACTTCGACCTGCTATAGCTCAGTGACCTTTTAAGGAACACGCAATTTTGCACGCCAAAAAATGAGCTATTGCATTGTCTGCAGCCGCACTAAATTCCACACGGCTACGCCACGGCTGCTCGAAAGTTACTCTGGAAAAACATTCGGGATGGGGATTAACCCCTCCCCCACCCGAGCGTGTGCTTATCACCGACATGCTAATGAGGAAACGTTACGTTAATGAGGGAACGACCATTTTTTGGAACGTTATACTGATAAAATGTCGGCGACTATCGCGAAATTGCGAGCCGAGTACACACTGCAGAGCTGCGAGTGTAGGATTACCAAATGTCGACATTTTGCGCCTGCATTGCATCCGCTGAGGTAAAAACGTCAAAACCAGCCACTTGACGCCCCCCCCCCCCCCCCCTCCTGCAGTACCCGGACTGCCTTCACCCTCCCGCGTCCTGCCGTCGGTGACGTTGACAGCGTGATGTTTCGGTGGCCGTGACCGTGTTGTTGGTGGCCCAGGTGCCACCTGCCGGCCCTCCAGCGCCGCCACGTGGCCATAGCCCGGCTGAAGCACCCGGCCAACTTCGGACGCACGGCAAAGCACGTCAAGCTGTTCGTGCTCATCCTGGTGCCCAGCAAGGAGGTGGGTCGGTAGTGCGCGGCAACCCGCGTGTGTCACGCTCTCGAGTGCAGCCGCTGGGGCCTGCTGCCGGCCCGTCCGCGGTCCACTCTGGATAGTGTAGCCCACAGGGATGGAAGATGGCGTATGCGAGGGCATGTATGTCCGATTTCCGTCGGTATCGAACACGATGCTGTCAAATCGACTTCGGTGTAACACAATCATGCGCCTCGTTTTACCAGCGTACTGAGAATATGGTTTATTCGGTATCGACAGCGAGAATTCGCTCCATTATAGATCGCTGTTCCTAGCCTCCTGCTAGCAATTGGAGCCTTTGTGCTGCGGAAAACATTACTATAGCCCCTATCATGCTTCCCGTGCGTTGTAGTTAGTGGACGTTTAGCTTTCATCATGATCTGGTAGATTGCTGGGCTCCACAGTGCAGATCTCAGCACTGTAAATACCGCGGCGTCTCCGCTGTCTCACATACTAACAACGGTCTGGTTCCGCAGAAAGGCACGAAAAACGCACTGGAGACGGCCCGTACGTTCGCCACCATCATCGCCGACATGGACTTCCGCCAGCGGCTGATGGAGGCGCACACAGAGGAGGAGTTTATGCAGCTCATTGTCAAGCACACCCAGATGATGGCCATAGAAGACGGAGACACCAAAGTGCATGCCGTCAACCTTGATGAAGAGCCGCTGGTGAGCTGGCGGACGTGGAAGTGGATGGAGACGAGGGAGGGGTGGGAGAGTGGGGAGCTCGCGTCATGCCATTCCTTCTCAGACCTGCGAAGACGCCTTCATGGGTGCTGCGGGCGTCGGCGGTTGGCATGTCGGAGATCGGTTGATGGAATGATAGAGGACTTCAGCATGCCTTCGCTATCACGTGCGCGCAAACAAATAATCGAGGGCGTTATCAGTGTTCGGACGCACGCGAAGCATGGGTGCAGATTACTGCGTATCACGGTAATCTATCCAACATCGCATTTGCATGTTCAGAAGTGGTGGATCGCCAGTCATGCCGCCTGTAGCGACGTGAAACATCGCGTGACCCATGCTCCTCCCCGATTCGTGCAGGAAGATGAAAAGTGCTGCACCGTGGGCACCGGCCTCTCCGCCGACCTCAAGCGAAGGGCCTCGTTCTATATCCAGGTATGGGGAGGCGACGTCCCATGTGCCGTGTTATATCCAGGTATGGGGGACGACGTCCCATGTGCCGTTCGATATCCAGATATGGGGGACGACGTCCCATGTGCCATTCCATATCCAGATATGGGGAGGCGACGTCGCATGTGCCGTTCTATATCCAGATATGGGGAGGCGACGTCCCATGTGCCGTTCTATATCCAGGTATGGGGAGGCGACGTCCCATGTGCCGTGTTATATCCAGGTATGGGGGACGACGTCCCATGTGCCGTTCGATATCCAGATATGGGGGACGACGTCCCATGTGCCATTCCATATCCAGATATGGGGAGGCGACGTCGCATGTGCCGTTCTATATCCAGATATGGGGAGGCGACGTCCCATGTGCCGTTCTATATCCAGGTATGGGGAGGCGACGTCCCATGTGCCCAGCCACATTGCGCCTCTTTACGCTCCCGTTGGTTGTGTGCAGGCAGTGTTTAAGTGAGTGGTGTCTGCTTATCTCGAAGCCAGTTACTCCTATCAGCCATTTGGACCACTTCACCATTGCTGGCGTTGAATTGTTTAGGGGGAGTGGGGTGGTAATGACATGAAGCTCAAATACATCAGATTGTCAAAATGCGTGGAGAAAAACGAGACTCATCCTGTGACCTTTCTTGCTTTTTAATGCTCTCAAACTAAGGCCTATCTACGTACTAGTTCTTAGTAATATGCTCAGTGTGTTGTCTTCTTAAACAGCATCAACGGTATTTAAGTTGCTGTTTGATTTCGCCATGGCTTACTTCGTTTGCTATCAGCTTTTTATTTCGCGCGATTTTTGCGTACCAAGCGTGCCTTTTACCACCAGGACTATGTTGACGGCTTTGTTGGGAACAAGACGCTGCAGAAGACCATATCGACCACATTCTTCTTGTATTTCGCCTGTATACTCCCCTCCATTGCGTTTGGAGTCCTGAATGACCATAACACAGGCGGAAAGATTGGTAAGGCGTCGTGAATGCAGTGTCGGTTCTGTCACGTTTTATTATTGGTAGTTTGCCGCCATTTCGGTAAGCGAGCTCTTTGGCTGTGAGAACATGCTTGCATGTTGTGAAAGTTGCATGCTGCAGATATTTTCTGAGGTCATGCAACACCACATTGCGCCGCCAAAAGTATACACTACCGATAAAAATAACGCAAAATGGCCTCACTGTTCTCTAGCAATAAAAACGATCGGATCCTTTCATTAGAAGGGTTGATGGAGCGATATCTGTGCATGAAGCAGTTGTTAAGTCTTAGCCTCAATCGCGCCAAAGTGGGACCCGTTCTGTCTAACCCACGGATCGCCGTCCGCTGTTCTAGATACTCCTCCAATTTGCTATCGCTAATCGCCAACCCGCTCCTGTCACAACCCGTAAATGTGTGCGCGTGCGTGCGTGCGTACGTACATGCGTGCGTGCGTGCGTGCGTGTGCTGGGCTCCGATACTGCTGTAGTTACCTTGCCTGCGTTAACCAATGCGCGTCTGGAAACCCAGAGGTACGGGGTTTGATTCCCTGCTGTGCCCGCCTTTCACGCCAGGGTGAGAGGTAGGCGACGTCATATAGCCTCAGCAGCTGAGTGCGTCGGAAAGCCCCAATGACAGACTTGTGAATATCCCGTTGCCTTCACCTCCGCGCCACGCTTCGGCATCGGAGCTCATCTCTGGGCAGGCTTTGCTCAGATATCCTAACTGTACCTCGCGCCTTACAGACGTGAAGAAGGTGATCATCGGTCAGACGCTGGGCGGCTTGTTCTTCTTCGTGTTCGGCGGGCAGCCGCTGATGGTGCTGCTCACCACTGCGCCGCTCGCCATCTACATCAAAAGTAAGCGCGTGCAACGTAGCGCGCGGCCGGTTTGTCAGGCGTTCCGCTCGTGAACGTGTGGCGCGAGCATGCCGGCTGCGCACCGTGCCTGAAGAGCGGTCGGAAGGCTGTAGTGATGCATTGTGCTGCTTGGTGGGAATCTGCGCCGCGAAAACGGCCGGGGTGTGCATATGTTTGAATATGCCAGATTATTAGGCCCTGTGGTGGAAGTGATCACATCACATCTCTTAGGTGAGTGTGGAGTGTGTCCTGGCCACGCGAACCTGGCATTCGCCCAACATTTGGACCGCCTCGCACACGAGATCGTTGTGAGGAAGGTTGGCGGCACTTCTCTTTTGAGGGAAAACTAATAAGGCCGTGATTATTGGCGAATGGTCGTCACAGTCGCGGGCAGATGTAATGATGGCGGGGAGATCAGGCAACACCGCACGCGCGCCAAGCACCCGGCGCGTAAATAATGACATCGTTAATATCGCCTAGTCGCATCATTGGCGATTACCTGGCCTGCAAGTTCCTGTCGGCAGAAACACTTGATCTCACGTGTCACATCCCGTCGTTAAGGATGTGTGATATTTACCACAGGCGGCCTCCAGCCGTGAAGAGCTTCTGATAGCTACCCTGACATTTGACATATGGTTCACATATCGCTCTGTCATCAACACCGTCCGACATTGATCCCTTGTGCCGCTTGCAGTTATCAAAAACATCTGCGACGACTTCGAGCTCGACTTCTTCTCGATGTACTGCGCCGTCGGCCTCTGGAACTCATTCTTCATCATCCTATACAGCGTGTTCGACGTGTCGCGGCTGATGCGCTGGTCAACCCGCTCCACAGAGGAGATCTTCGCCCTGTTCATCTCCATAGCCTTCTGCGTGGACGCCACCCGCGATACCGTGCACAGTGAGCTTTGACGCTTGGTTACAAGTGGCTCATTCGTTGACGTCCGGCTTTGCAAATGTATGGACTTACAGGTGACTTCCGCTTGGTTAGTGTGTGGCTCATTGGTTGGCATACGCTGCTGCGAATGCGTGGAATTGCTGATGACTGTTGGAAGGAGTTTCTAGTCATCGCCGGATGAAACGGCTTCGACGCAAATTAGGTTACCTTCTTCCGCTATCGAACTACGGGATTAGTGATTGGGGCTTTTCGACGTGCTCAGCAGCTGAGGCTATGTGACGTCGACTGTCTCTCGCCCTGGCGGGAACGGAGGGCACCACGGGGTTGAACCAAGGGTTTCTGTACCTCTGGCAGTGGTGTCTTCCAGGATAGTTACAAAATGGCCGCGTCAGTCGCCAGCAACACCCAATGGCGATAAAAAGCTGTGTGTTTCTCGCTGCGTGTTTGTTCTCCCACCGTGGCATTACTTTGATGATTTCTTTGAAACCTTTGATGATGATGCGCGAAATTTCCGTCTGAACCCAGGGCGTATTTCAGCCATCACTTGTTCACAAGCGAGAGTTTGAAGCTTGGATACTTCGTCAGAGCCGGTTCACCAACGTCGAACATTTTCAGACTTTCAGAGGAACTACCTGTCTCCGGCGTGTCTGGGTGTCAGTGAGGAGGCCAACGTGACCAACTACGACGTCACCAACGGCACCGTGGTGGTGATAGACCAGTGCCTGAGAGAGAACAGCATGCTCTACCTGCTGCTGATGCTGGGCACGCTCTGGGTCGGCGTCTCCCTCTACAACTTCAACAAGACGTGAGTCCGAAGCGACACCGCGCCGACGCCGCGGCGGTCCGCTACACGGCGAGTGCAGCGCCGCGGCCTCGCCCGCCGCGCTCGCGAGGGCGACTCGAGGCCGTGTGCGAATCTGGCGATGGGCAGGGCTCCCAAAGAGGCTCAGTGGGCACGTGCTGGAGGTCGAGCCCCCATCCCCACCCTCTGCCACGGTCGCACGGGGCGCAGTTATTGTGGCGCCAAAGGGATGTTTTTTGGTCTCCTGCGAGGCCAATGGGAGCACGTTCGTCGCGCCGGCGGAAACGGGTGTACGTGCCTGTAAGGTAGAGGCGCTAATCAGGGATGGTGCACTGTTCTCAAGACGCTCTGTGATCTCTCGCCTGCTACGAACCGTGAAAAGAGTATCATGCATCTCCCATGCGTGCGTCTCTAATGCGCGTTTACTGTTAAGTCGTTAACTGTTTTTGCTGTTGGAAGTGCTGCTTACCTGGCTGCGCTATTCGCTGATCGTACGGCTAATTCTCTGGAACGGTCAGTCATCATCTGAATGTGACCTTCATCCGGCTTTCAATCATTACCAGATTGGAAAAGTTGCTCTCATACCCCCTCCCCCTCCCCCCTCCTGCGTGGACGAAGGTACAATGCTGTCCATCGTACACTATTCAAGAAAGGTCTCTGACAATGTTCAGGAAGACTGTGAGGCAAGAAGGCAGCATATGCTGCTGTGCCGCGCTATGACGTACCCTTTCCGTTGCAGGCCGTACCTGGAAGCCAACAAGCGGGAGATGCTAGCCGATTATGCCCTGCCTGTGGCAGTCCTTGTTATGACGTTCATCGGATCGTTCCTGTTCAAAGAAGTAAAACGTAAGTTATCCCATGTGTTCTAAGCGGCCTCGTTCTCAATGCAGTCCTGGACATCAACGTTTTGCGAATATCCTGAGTTTGATCATTGCTCACCACTCAAAAGCGGTGTCTTCTCCCAGTGCGATAATCGATAGCCTCCGCTCCTGTTTTGATCCGCTCAATAAAAGCGGACACTCATTTCCCTATCGACGCGTGTACCCCTGCGAACTCGGACGCCCTGTGCGTACCTGGTGTGGTCGGTGTGACAGCCTGCCGCCTCCGCCGTCGCTAGTGATGCCGTTCCACTACCGAGGCGAGAACGCCATCGGCTTGGTCTCCATGAGCGGGATGGGTGCGGGCGCCGTGCTCGGCAGCGCCGGTCTCGGCTTCTGCCTCTCCCTGCTCTTCTTCATGGACCAGAACATCTCCAGCGCCATGGTCAACAACCCCGGCAACAAGTGAGTCCGCACGCCACGGCGGCGGCGCTGGCGTCTGGCTGAAGCCAGCCGTGCTGAACTCTGACCAGAAAAAAAAAACCGGAGCCGGTGGCCCAGACGGAAACCGGACTCTTATATCCAGGCAACGTTGTGCAATGCTGAGCGAGAACAGGTTGTTGACGTGATGCTATCCGCCATGTTTGTGACGTCTATAGTGACGTTTACTCCTTATGCTAGACCCAAAACTTCATCTCAAATCCGTTATTTCCGGGGTACAGGCTCCTGTTCTCACAGGAACCCATTGCTCCAGACCCACCCAGTCCCATCTTCTTTTCCTATCCCCATCCCATCCTGTGAGCTGGAAACGGATTCCTGCCGTCGGTCCAGACCCCAGATCGTCACCGAACCAGCGCGCGCGGCACATTGCACCAGAGCTACCGTCCCAGCCAGGACACGCGAGGGCCCCCGCCCCTCTCGCGCACGCCTCGGCCCTAACGCCCTCCGACGCCACCAGGTTGAAGAAGGGGCCGGCCTACCACCTGGACCTGATGGTGGTGGCGCTGCTCAACGGCCTGCTGTCCGTGTTCGGTCTGCCGTGGATGCACGCGGCCATCCCGCACTCGCCGCTGCACGTGCGCAGTCTCGCTGACGTCGAGGAGCGCATCGAACAGGGCCACGTCTACGAAATGTGAGGCGCAGAGCGACGGCCGCCAGCCGTGTTGGTGTGGACGCCAACCGGCTGGTGCGCGTTGTGTACAGTACCGGCCTGTACCAGCTGGATGACCTTCGTTAGTTGTGTTTGCCTTGTAAAAAATCAGGAACGTAACTGGCCGGGTAATTACGCAGAAGTGATTGCGTGCCAGTTTCTTTTTGTTCATAGGTATTATCTAAAGAAAACCTCGGGCGAATCGTATCATAAATAAGGCACTGCCACAACAATGCAAAAATATGCCATTGTTCGGCGAAACTAGTCCTTGCGTACAACCTACGTCCACGTTACTCCACAAGGTCTTTTCCTGTCATTGCAAGCCAGCAAAAACCCCTCGGCGCATCGCTATCGCCTGGTTGACCATGTGAGGCTCAGGACTCGACAGATGCGCAGTCACGCAGCGCCAGACCGAGCCTAGCAGCCGGCCAGGAGCGCCCTGACACGTCCCTGGCCTTGCAGCATCGTCAAGGTGCGCGAGACGCGCGTCACCGGCATCCTGTCGCACGTGCTGATCGGCCTGTCGGTGTTCCTGCTGCCGTACCCGCTGTCGTACATCCCGCCGCCGGTGCTCAGCGGCCTCTTCCTCTACATGGCCATCACCGCGCTCAACGGCAACCAGATGTTCGAGCGCATCACACTGCTCTTCACTGAGCAGGTGCGGCCGGTGCAGCGGTTCGTGCGGTGGCGAGCGGCGTCACACGCTGGCTGGTGACCAACTGTGCGGCAGCGTTCTTGGTTTGGCTTGGGTTAGAACCAGAAATGCCTTTCGGCCAAGAATGACCTTTTCAGGTCTATGGGGTGAAGGAGAGTGGATAGCGGTGGAAAAGGCTGCCTGCAACTGGGGGGGCGGGGGGGGGGGGGCTTCCACCTAGCCTAGCCCGCACAGAGACCCTTGCGCGGCGTATGCGCTCGGCGCTCGGACGGGCCCCACCACGGGCCCCACTCTCTGATGGCGCATGCAGCCTGACCTGGTTAAATGTGGCATCGCGAGGATGCCGGATGAAGAAAGAACGAGGAAAGAAAGGCTGATATGCGGGACAGGACATGGGAAAGGTCGAAGATTCACGGGTTTGCGGACGTCAAAAAAGGGTGGTTGTGCGTTTTCGTGTTTCGATTGACAAGGCATGAGGTCATATAAATATTGTGATAAAAGTCGTGTTGGAATGTCCGAGGGATAAATGACATCACAGCCTTCGTGCGTTGATGTAGGCGAATTTTCGCATCGTGTACGACAAACATCCCCATCCATATAAAGCAAGAATGTCAATGATTCTCACCCCTGCTAAATATCATATCTGGAACTCAACTTCTACGACATGGGCGCTAATGCAAACTGGATGCCCCGATCTACGGGCGCCATGATGCTCCAGATTACGTGTCACCCTGTACGCGACGCTGTCCTGAGCGCTCACGCCCAAGTGCTGAACCGTGCCCTTCCGAGTCGCAGACTGTATGAAGTTCGCTCGCGACCCAGCCCTGGCCGGGTGTGCGGTCCCAGCACTGGCCGGGGTTACAGTCCCAGCCCTGGCCGGGTGTATAGTCCCAGCCCTGGCCGGGGCTACGGCCTCAGCCCTGGCCGGGTGTGCGGTCCCAGCCCTGGCCCGGGCTATGGCCTCTACCCTGGCCGGGAGTACGGCCTCAGCGCGGCCGCCAGTCCCGGACTGGCGGAGCGTGGGTCTGCGATCTAACGCCTGCGCCGGTGCTGCCGCTAGGTGGCGTACCCGCCGAACCACTACATCCGGCGAGTGCCGCAGCGCAAGATCCACATCTTCACCGGCTGCCAGGTGGTGCAGCTTTGCATCCTCTGCGCATTCGGCTTCTCGCCCTGGGCTTACATGAAGACCTTCTTCCCGGTGCTGCTGCTGCTCCTGCTACCCATCAGGTAGGAGATGAAGCCGGCTGGGCCGTTCGACGCCAGACTGACTGGGTTGACATCGTTAAGTGTTTAGCGTTGGGCGGATCCGGATATGATCGCACTGCGAACAGATATATCTCCCGTCCGTCCCGGACATGTCTCCCGTCCGCCCCGGTGGCTCAGCTGGTTAGAGCGCCTGCCTCCCTATCCTCTCAACCGTGGAAGGGGGGGGGGGGGGGGAGTTCGAGTCGCTGTAGGCGCTCGCTATTTGCCCTTGACGGCTATGGCTTGCGGCCGGTGGCAGCGGTCGCGCTAAATATTAGTTGACGTCACACGGCAGTACGGACTATGCCGAGCACTGCGGCACGTTAAAATTTCGCCACTAAATTCTGCCGCTGCCTGGAATTGCGCGATCGGATGGTAGGGATCAGGGCTCACACAACAATCACCGCCTAGCGTGAGCTGTAATCCCGGAAACTTATTCATTCAAAGGGTTCGGATCAAATCTTTAAAAAGAAGCTATTTCATTTGAGTGATCTCTCAGCAACCGTCATAGTTTGGCATCGGATGTACGAATCAAACATCCGTAGAGCGTTAAAACATGCATGCCTTGCTGTCTTATTCGATTTTTGCGACGTTTTTCTTTAGGTGGAGAACCTCGAACCAGATTGCACAGACTCTATGTTTTACACTGAATGCGTTCGCCTCCTGCCACCCATCACGGACGATGCTTATCAATAGCACCCTGCTGCGCCTGTTTACAGACACCGTTTGGTCCCGAAGCTGATTGAAGAGAAGTACCTGGCCGCCATGGATACGGAGCACTGACGTTAGAGGAAGCGCGTCATCACATGCGTGACTGGACTCACGTGAGCTAGGGAGCTCGGCTACGGAAATGCAATCCTCGAGCGAAAACGTTTCGTGTCAGATATTAGCTGGGCAAAAACTAGCTCGTGTGTTTTTGAAGAAGGCTCAACGCCTAGTGCTTTCGTTCGAGAGTGCAATCCAAGTTCTCAAGCACGAGACTTTGGAAGTATTAGCTATCAGCAGCATCCTTTCCGAGAGAGAACATCCCTGCGTGCAGCCCTTCAAGCGTCGTAGTGTTTGCAGCATGTTTCCGTGACGCTCATCGAAAGGCCAATTCGCTCCAGCGTGAAGCGCCTTGCTCAGAGGACTGTTCAGTTTTTTTCTGTTCGAATCAGTTTCTTTCTGTTCATAATGGAATGCAGGGAAAGGCTAACATGACGGCATTGTAAGTAATGCATTTATTATCAAGGAATCACAGCACTGCTATCTTAATTTTTAATGTCATCCATGGACCACTTGTGCGTCTTACACCGGTTACATGACCTCGTTTAAACCTCGTCAGTCCTTTATGATCATGCTTCCGTCGTGCATCGTTTTTCGCGCACTTTGAAGACAAAAAACAAATTTGTCCTGTGGCATTACTTCACCTTACTTGCGCCCCCCCCCCCCCTTCAGATCAATGCTCATATGACGCTCCCCTAGCTCTCGGTTTTCTTCTCATAGTTCATCTTAGTTGGTTTTTAGGTCGTTCAGAGGGACTGAGGGTCACGCGCTCAGCCTTCCAACGTACTCTTGCAGTACCCGTGCGGTGCTGCATATTTCGGTCAGACGGCCCTGGACTCCTTATAATATTTTATCCCGTTCGTGTACTTAGAAACTGAAACTGTCTTTTCGGCAGCGAACCATTTTAACTCGGGTGTAGTTAGTCGATCAATTATTGTTCACCGCCACGTCTGCGATTGAGTCACATCCTAACCCTGACTCTTGCAGCCCAGTCGTGTTAGGTTGGGCTGGTGCATGTTTTACGCATCCCAATTAGCGAGCCAAGACCGCGTGATGATCACACACCGCTGGCGATCCTCGTGGAGCCGCTGAGCCATGTAATGTCGCTGTTAAGGGTTGATTGGTTGGTACGTACGGCTGTGCAACTCAGTAAACCCAAGGTCTCCTTTATGCCCATGGTTCGTCCGTAATAGCGACTGTCGAAGAACGTGACAATATATCATAGTTTCCGCTCGCCGCTTGTCACCGCGTCAGACGACGTGCCTTGGAGTTCGCGCGACGGTAGTCATTTCAATGTGTACCTGATGCGTTTTCGCCCTTCGTGACGCGGGCAGCTCTTATGGTCATCGGCGTCGCAGTCTCCGGGGAAACCCAAACGAGGTAAGTCTCGGAATCATGATTTCACGGCCAAGGTCACCGTGTTGTCCATACGCCGCGATGTTCACCATGGGATTACCCACAAAAGTTCATTTTTAAGGACGGTGAGCTGCAGAAATAATACTAAACACATATTTCGACCGACGGAAACAAAACACAGTTGTCCTGGCAAATTTGGTGTACAACATATTGACAGATCGCAAAATTCCGATGGCGGAATCTAGCGGAAGTCGCTAGGTCAAGCGAAAAATCTGAGCTTTGGGGAAGAATTGGCAACGCTGTTACTGTCGGACCCAACAAGTATATGGGCAGGCATGTCCACATCGACCTTTAATACGCGCCTTCCCCTCGAGTGGGCTGCTTGTTATGTCTGTCCGATGATTCTGTGTGGCTGTGGTTCCGTAATCCAAAAATGGTGCAAAAGCTTGTATTGTCCCAAGGGGACTCGTTATGCAGACATTAGTCGTGCATAATATCACAAGTTAACAACAACACGGTTACAAAACCGTGAAATAAGCGGAGGATGTCCAACCTCGACGGTCCATGCGCAGCAAGCAGCACGTGGCAGCGCGTTAGTCTTCGACCTCCGTTAAAAACATTACTCCCCGCAGATAACGGTACAAGAGTGCAACAGGAGCGGCGAGCCATCGCCGGCAGTGTAATTACAGCACATGGCCGCGGCCTGACTTTTCAGGCCGCGGTCCGGACGGCCGGTCTCAATGGTCAAAAGTCCGGTCGGAGACCGATGAATAGCGGCCAGCGCCAGCAGGCGGCCTTGGCCACCGGCGCCACCCGCCGGGTCCCCACGCGAGGCTCCAATCGCCGCCGCGACTCACGCGCCGGCCGGCAGCCGGACTCACATGAAGAAGGCGGCCAGTTCGGCCATCTTGTCGCGCGGCTGGCGGGGCTCGGCGCCCCCGCGGCCGCGGCCCCGCTGGCCGCCCCGCGGCCGGCTGGTCGTGCGCTGGGCGTGCTTCATCTGCACCAGCTGGCTCAGACCCTCCGTGCAAAAGACGCAACCCTCCAGCTGCGTCGCCTTGTCCGGCAAACGCGACTTTTCCTGGCGATGGCGCGGACGGCATGAGGCGGCGGACGGCGCCCGCCTGCGGACGCCGCGGGCGACGGGGCACGACAGTGAAATATGGCGGTGATGGGGCGAGAACCCGAGGCTTCTCAGTTATGAGTGAGGCGAAAAAGATCGTTACTCACTTAAGAGGTCTCATGGGGTTTGAAATTGATGGCACGGGGAACGCGGTACGTGAGCAGCCCACGTGAGTTCGACTTGGTTGCATGGACTACTTGCCATCCAACCGAGATAAAGCACAGTTCTTTGCCAACAAAGGCGTTCGGTTGCACCACTTACGGGCAGCGGCCCACTCACTGCCGAATTAGTCTCCATTTTAGTCTCCAATTGTCGGTGATAATCAAGAAGCGACATGCCTAGCAGCACTATCCATGCTAAGCCAAGACTGCACTGTATAAATCGAACTACTTCGCACCTGCACCTAAACGGGGAGACGACAGACTCGAGTTGAACGGAACCAGCGTAGTGGTAGTAGCAGTCATTGGGATACCACAAGATATTCACATCCGGGTATACACAGCGCACAGATATCGCTGACGCATAAAGCAGCCACGCACGGTACTTGACATCCACAATAGTGAGAACAGGGAGCGCTATCGATAACACACAGTGACTCGGCAAGTTGAACCCTTAATGGGAATGCTCCACATTTGGGGATATTGTAGTAAACATCAGGTATGAAATAAGCTCACTTATAACTATTGGCATGTTTTTATGTGGGAAAAACTGCTGTCAATAACACAATTTCTCTGTTTATTTATATGCTCCTCAATACGTCATTGTTTAAGCATGTCAGCGTAACTTGAACAATGATTGGGAGCCCATGGCGGGCCGTATTATCTGGAATGCGACCTCACGAAAGCCATACATGATCGACTCAACACACTGTCTTAGTCTCTGTCATTGTCTTAGCCTTGATCGCCGATTGAAATACTGCCATTGCATGGCTTATGTAATAGCCGGATTTAAATGACGTTATCGTGGCGTCATGGATGCCTGGATGACCTTGAAATAGTCTCCCCGCAAAGTTTGCAGATCTTCGCGGGCGTACAGCTAAAAACTAGAGGGATTTACATCTGAAGAAGGGCAGGGCTGTGACATGCACCGAATGATATTCAAGGTGGCTACTCCAGTCCAAAGTCCCATTCAAACGCGGAACACTCCCTTTAAATGGACATACCGAGCCAAGTCAGTTCAATCAGTACCACATACCTGACAGGGCAATTGACTGCGTGCACTAGCCCTCTATAGGCTGCGCTCAACCTAGCATGACCATGCCATTCTGCACGGCTTATCCGGCACTGTCGACATCTTACACGAGCACAAACACTCGATATGTGCGATTGTCCGGATACGCCAAACACGTGTGTGACACGCCCCATGACAATCGCTCATGGCGGCGCGACCCTCTCCGCGCCCTGCACCGACCTGTTTATACTCGACCTTGACGTTGCAGGCGCCGCAGGATCCGCACACGCCTGGCAGAACGCTCACTTTGACCGCCTGGTCGAACAGGCTGATTATGACGTCACACCTGAAATACGCGCGGAATGGGCTACAGATGGCGCCAAACGCGCCCGATACTCTCTGTATACCAGAAATGATGTATAAGCTAGTGCTATGTAAATGCAAAAGATGCCAGATTACCAATAGGCGCTCAGCTGAATCTACGTCTCAACGGAAAGCAGAAATTTGGCACGACGTTTTGCATTAGTATTGAGTCGTGCCCATGGGCAGACACGGCCATCCAGTTAACGTCAATCAAAGATGTTCCGACGCCAGCGTCTTCATATCACGGATACCTGATTGACAGTTGAAGACTAAGCAGTCCAGCGAAAACTTACATACACTCAGATCAAAACAGCTGTCACTTCTCTCACTTTAAAACGCTCTCCCAATGGACACACGTCAAACACGGCAATCCCGCGTTAACTGACGTAGCTGTACCCCTACAGTGTGAGCGACATCACTCTCCACACAGAGTGGAAGCACGCGAGCACCTCCTGACGGCAACACCCCGATCGGGCCCGCACACAGGCCCGGCCGGGCGGCAGAGGCCTCACCTGTTGCAGACGAGCTTCCACTTGGGTCCCGAGGCGGGGTCGAGCACCAGCACGCCGCGCTCGCAGGCCACGCACGCCGACACGCCGTTCACGCTGAGCCCATGACGACAGCTGGGGTGCGAGCAGCTGTTGCAGCCGCTGCCCCTGCCCATGTCCCTGCGGCACGGACGGCGCCCGTCGGCGGCGGACACCGGCGGACACGGACGGCCAGGACGAGAGACGACCGCACAGACGGCGGCGGACATCAGCGGACACGAACACTCGGCACGAGAGACAGCCGCACAGGCAGCGGCGGATCGCGGCGGACATCAGCGGACACGGACACTCGGCACGAGAGACAGCCGCACAGGCAGCGGCGGATCGCGGCGGACACCGGCGGGCACCGACGGCCGGGACGAGGGACGGCCGCAGACGCAGAGAACATCGGCGATTGCCGACCGCGCGCCGGCTAGATGTGCGAAGCAGCCTTTGATTCACAGCACTAACGAGGCAGATACACAGGTCGGTGGATGAATAATCAAACTTGAAACCAACAGTACCAAAACGTAACTGACTAAGCGTACCAATTGGAGGAACATACCTGACCTTTAAATGTTAAATCAAGCGTCATCTTCTACCTTTACATGGCAAATGAAGCGTCATAATCGACTACCATCACACAACATAATCTTGAGTCAAGCTAGTCCCGTACTGACTTCGACGCAGGCATTCAGCTCCATTCACTACATTAACAGGCATTCAGCACATTCACACACAGCTCTATTCACTACACAGCTCCATTCAGCTCCATTCAGCTCCATTCACACCTTGTTAACCGCACCCCGCTTACTTGAACGGCGGGTGGTTGTAACAGTAAGGACAGAGCACGAAACTCCGACCCTTCTTGCCGCCCGACCACACGACCAGCTCAAAGTCATCTAGCGGACACTTGGCTTCATTGTAGATGCGGACCACCCCGTCAGATGGCAGGGAGAACGTCTCGCCGCAGTGGGTGCAGTGCAGGCGCTGCGGTCGCGTCTCCACCAGCTTCATGTACCTCCGGCACTTGCCGCACCTACCGAGGGGTCAGATCACGCTAAGCGAGCGCGGCGTGAACGAGTAGCATAGCCGAACGGCATGAACTGTTGCCAAAGCGCGGCAATAAGACGCTGTGACAGCTCTACGACAGCAAAGAACTAGGACTGATAATTAACGTGGTTAATTCAATGCTTGCCCTTGCCTCCATACTAACAGCCCCACCCTGACCCGTTTCAGCATGCAGCGCGTCTGAACGGCTTTACGCAGCGTATCGCCTATCGAGAGTCTGCCAACCCCAAAGCGTGCACCTGGCACGCACGCGGCCGCGCTGCTCACCGCGACAGAGGCTTGCCGGACGAGGCCAGCGGCGAGAACGACGCCTCGAACAGCTGGTCCATGCTGTTGACGTTCTTGACGAAGTAGTGGAACTTCATCTTGAAGATCTCGAGCGTGTGCCGCAGCACGGCGTCGTAGTCGGCGCGGCCGAGCGCGATCAGGTTCAGCTGCTGCTCCACGGCGGAGCGCATGCTCGGCAGCACCAGGTCCGGGTCGGTCTGGAACGGTGGCGCCGCGTCACAGGCGACGCCACCGTGGACACGTCGGGGCGTGCTCGGCACGCGACGAGGCGGGGCGCGGCGGAGGAGCACCGGCCGGGACGGCGCGCCGCGAGATCGAACACCACCGCGGCCGCCGCGGAACAGCGGCAGTGCAAC